GGGTATTCAAATGAAAGGTCTCGATGAGTGTAATGTCGGAGTGAGCTTATATCTTTAATAATTCCATTAGTTTACTAGATATTTGTTAAGTTTCACGGAACTATCTTAACTATTAACTTTTTTAAAGATATAAGCTCATCCCGATGTTACACTCATCGAGACCTTTCATTTGAGTACCCACATTAAACACATCAATTTTTCATATATTTATATATATTATATATATGTATATATGAAAAATATATAAAAAATGCAAGTGGGTACTCAAATGAAAGCTCTTGATAAGTGTATCATTAGGATGAGCTTATATCTTTAAAAACGTCTAACTTAACTTTTTTTTTTTAATTAATATTTAATGTTTTGAACTTAAAGTTATTTTTTTTTTTTTCAATTTTTCAATTAATTAGAATTGAATCAAAATTTATATGATAGTTATTCTTATTACTTAAAATTAAATATATTTAAAAATAATTTAGTGTCAATATTTAGACCTCTGTCAATAATTTGGGCTTCTTTATCTTATATTAGAGACTTACCATTAATTAAAAAATAATTGATAAATTTTTTAAATTTATTTTTCAGTGGAAGATCCAAACCAAATAATCTACGTAGACGCCTTATACATGCGTACCACCCTTCTCTACAAAGTAGAGCGCTACGAAGAGTTTCTTCAATCAGCCCAAGTACTTTTCTCTCGTCACTGCATAAAATTAAGAGAAAAAGCTCAAGTAAAATGTTTATTGGCCACAACTTTAAAAATTAGAATTGAAAATCTTCAGAAGTACTGCTTGTCCTTCGGACGACCACTTCAAGACACTGTACTTACCTTCCACGAGTCAAAGACACCTCCAACAGATCAGCAAGAGTGGATGATCTTCTTAAAAGCCTGCCACGTGGCGTACAAGCTAAAAAAATTCGGAGTCCTGCAGAGAATTTGCTTCACAGGACTCACTTCGAAAAAATTCGAGTCCCAGATTAGAGACCTTACCTGGCTTTGTTTGTTGTCTTGCATTTACAACAATGACTCCTTTAACGGGCACAATATTATCCGAGAGCTGGTGAGAGACACTCACGAGCAGAATCTCTGGAATCTTTTGAACATTGTTGTTCAAAAAGCAGACGACACCAGACACAACCGGTTTATCATGAGATTGCTCGGCCGCGTGGATGTTCAGTCATATTTGCACATTTTGCAAGCTAATAATTGCCTCGTTTCCGGGACTTATAAGTATGCGTTGAATGATTATGTCTCGCTGTTCAAACATTATCCTGACCCGCTTATAGCGATGCTGATTGGGGTGACTTTTATGCAGATGGGCTGTCAAAAATTTGCTACTAAAAAACACCAGCTTGTTTCTCAAGGTAAGACGTATCTTGAAAACTATTGACATTTTTAAAGATATAAGCTCATCTTGATAATATACGAATCGAGACCTTTCATTTGAGTACCCACATCAATTTTTCATATATTTTATATATTTATATATTTCATAAATATCATATATATAGAGTATATGAAAAATATCATGTGGGTATTCAAATGAAAGGTCTCGATAAGTATAACATCAAAATGAGTTTATATCTTAAAAAATCTCTATGATTAAGAAATTACATTGTATTTAGTCAACTACTGAGATTTTTAAAGAAATAAGTAGGGGTGTGCGAATAATTCGAACTTACGAATTATTCGTTTCGAATCGAATATTAATATTCGATTCAAAATTCGAATACGAATAATTTGAATTTTCAAATTATTCGAAATTCGACGAATAATTCGAAAAATTACGAATAATTCGAAAAGTTTCGAATTATTCGTCGAATGTTGATTAATTCGAAAATTCGAATTATTCGGTTCGAATTTCGAATCGAATATCAATATTCGATTCGATTCGATTCGAACGATATTCGCACACCCCTAGATATAAGCTCATCTGGGTGTTATACTCGTCGAGACCTTTCATTTGAGTACCCACATCAATTTTTCATATATTTATATATATTATATATATATGTATATATGAAAAATAAATCAAAATGCATGTGGGTACTCAAATGAAAGCGTATGATAAGTATAATACCGGGATGAGCTTATATCTTTAAAAACGTCAATAATTAAGAAAGTACTGTGCAATTTAACAAAAACAAATAAGAAATGACCCTGTATCTCGTGAACTATTAACTTTTTTAAAGATATAAGCTCATCTGAAATATTTAGAATTTTCATTTTTACATGTCCGCGTGTGTATTGTTATTAAAAGTTATCAAAAGTTTACTAGAGTAAGGTTTAAAATTTTCGATCAGTTTATTTCTAATCATTGTTATATACCAATCGTATCGATTTTACATTCTCTACAAGCATCCTAAGCCAAACCAATGATTAGCTTACTAACTTGGAAATATTTAGAATTTTCATTTTTACATGTCTGCGTGGGTATTGTAATTAAAAGTTATCGAAAGTTAACTAGAGTAAGGTTTAAATTTTCGATAAGTTCATTTTTAATCCTTATTATGCATCAATCGAATCGTTTTTTCATTCTCTACAAGGATTCTAGGCCAAACAGAAATTTAGAGTTTTCATTTTTACATGTCCGCTTGGGTATTGTTATTAAAAGTTATCAAAAGTTTACTAGAGTAAGGTTTAAAATTTTCGATCAGTTTATTTCTAATCATTGTTATATACCAATCGTATCGATTTTACATTCTCTACAAGCATCCTAAGCCAAACAAATGATTAGCTTATTAACTTTGAAAAAATTTAGAATTTTCATTTTTACATGTCTGCGTGGGTATTGTAATTAAAAGTTATCAAATGTTAACTAGAGTAAGGTTTAAAATTTTCGTTAAGTTCATTTTTAATCATAATTATGCATCAATCGAATCGTTTTCACATTCTCTACAAGGATTCTAGGCCAAACAGTTGATTAGATTAGTAACTTGGAAGAAATTTAGTTTTCATTTTTACATGTCCGCGTGGCTATTGCTATCAAGACTTATCAAGAGTTATCAAGAGTTAACTAGACTAGGGTTTAAAATTTTCGATAAGTTCATTTTTAATCATAATTATGCATCAATCGAATCGTTTTCACATTCTCTACAAGGATTCTAGGCCAAACAGTTGATTAGATTAGTAACTTGGAAGAAATTTAGAGTTTTCATTTTTACATGTCCGCGTGGCTATGCTATCAAGTCTTATCAAGACTTATCAAGAGTTAACTAGATTAGGGTTTAACATTAGGGGTGTGCGAATAATTTGAACTTACAAATTATTCGTTCCGAATCGAATAATTTGAATTTTCGAATTATTCGAAATTCGACGAACAATTCGAAAAAATTCGAATTATTCGAAAAATTACGAATAATTCGAAAAGTTTCGAATTATTCGTCGAATGTTGATTAATTCGAAAATTCGAATTATTCGGTTCGAATTTCGAATCGAATATCAATATTCGATTCGATTCGATTCGAACGATATTCGCACACCCCTAGAAATAAGCTCATTTTGATGTTACACTCATCGAGACCTATCATTTGAGTACCCACATCAATTTTTCATATATTTTATATATTTATATATTTCATAAATATCATATATATAGAGTATATGAAAAATATCATGTGGGTATTCAAATGAAAGGTCTCGATAAGTATAACATCAAAATGAGTTTATATCTTAAAAAATGTCAATAGTTCACAAGATATAACGTATTTTCTTTATCATTGACATTTATAAAGATATAAATTCACCCCGACATTACACTCATCGATACCTTTCGTTTGAGTACCCACATCAATTTTTCATATATTTATATATATATTATATGAGTATGTATATATGAAAAATATATCAAAAATGCATGTGGGTACTCAAATGAAAGCTCTTGATAATTGTAACATCAAGACAAGCTTATATCTAAAAAATCATCAATATTTAAGAGAGTACTGTGCAATTTATTCTTAAATAATTTTTTTTTTATTCTAGCTCTAGCATTTTTAAAAAAATACGCCGACCTCAGAGGCCCGGAAATGAAACAGGAGTCAAATTACAACATCGGCCGTGCTTTACACCAACTAGGATTTTTATCTTCAGCTCTAAACTTCTACAAACAAGCTTTAGAGTTTCCAGAACCTCCTCATGACAAAATCATCAAAGAAAATCTAGAATTACTAGACATTAGACGCGAAGCTGCGTTTAATATCCACCTTATTTATTTACAAACTGGAAACAAAGAACTTGCTCGAATGTATTTACATGAATTTATTGTAGTTTAATTTTTTCAAAAAAAAAAAACTTTTTTTATAAAAAAAAAATTATTTTTAATAAATTCAAGCAAGTATTTATAAAATAAAACAAAAAAATTTTTTTATATATAAAGGAGTAATAATAAAAATAATATATAGAAACATATATATTTATATATTTTTTTGTTTTGTTTATTGTATTTTTTCCTTAATAAATTTCATATATAAGCTACACCTTAAAAATTAACACATTCTATGTATAGTAATTATAAACTAACAATAATTATTTTTTTTTAAATAATAATAATAATTTCTTGGTGTCATATAATTATTATTATTATTATTTCACATATTGCGTTATTTAATAAATTGAAATTTAAAAAAAAATAATTAAATCTCAAAAGGAAAATGACAAAATTTTCTTTTATTTAGTCACAGAGCAATTATATCATTATTGTGCGAAAATAATAATTTTAATGAAAAATAAAACAGACCAATTAAAATATTTTCACAAATTAAATATTCTAATCTTACATAATAATCTTAATAATTAAATATTATAATTAATATCCAATTAATTATTTATAAATTAGAAAAAAAATGTCCAAGTCTTTAAATATTTTCGTGTCAAAAATTTTTAATATTTATTTTATTACTTAAGCATTAAAATTATTTTTTTTTGTTCATTAAATTTAGCTCTGTGGTCAAAAATTTTTTTTTTAATATACTTTTTTTTTTTTTTTAGTTATTTACACTTAGATTAATTAGATAATTATATAATTATTTATTTACCGACGTGCGATAATTAAAAAAAAAAAAACATTAATTAATGTTAATATATATTTCCCACCTTAATAATAATTAAATGATAGATAAAATTTATTTAAATTATATATTACCTTTCAGTAGGTTGGGGCGTAGCAGAAACGGAGCTCTCAACCAAGTCGTGCCTGTCGATAGGCGATGAGTTGTCGATGTTGTAATCAACTGGGTATCTTTCTGTGGAGTAAGTCGGAGTTGCTTCTCCGACTTGTCCGAGCCTCAGTTCTTCGTCGTTGGTGGTCGTCGCTGCCGCGGTGGTCGTTGCCGAGGACGAGGTCAGGGTTGAACCCGACGACGACGAGGTTGTTGATTCTTGGTAGTAACTTTGCGACGCCGATTGCTCCACGTCTGCTGTACGCTGCTCTAGGTCTTGGGAGTAGTAGCTCTGAGTTGCTTCGGATTCTGGAGGTGGCTCGTAGTAACTTGGGGATGCTGTTTGAGGCTGGTAGCTTGGACTTGGTCCCTCAGGTACGAAGTAACTTTGCGTTGCTTCTGATGTATCCTGGTGAATAATTTTAATTGAATGAATGTAAAGAAAAAAGAGCATTTTTTGGTATCTTATAACAAAATTTAAAAAAAAATAATGACTTTTGTTAAATTGCACTGTACTTTCTTAAATATTAAAGATTTCAAAGATATAAGCTCATCTTGACATTATACTTATCAAAAGCTTTCGTTTGAGTACCCACATGCATTTTTGATATATTTTTCATATATACATATATATAATATATATAAATATATGAAAAATTGATGTGGGTATTTAAATGAAAGGTATTGATGAGTGTATTGTTAAGATGAGCTTATATCTTTAAAAATGTCATTTGTTGACAAGATACAAGGTAATTTTTTAATCATTGAAATTTTTTAAGATATAAACTCATTTTAATATTAAGCTCTTCGAGAGCTTTCATTTGAGTACCCACATACATTTTTGATATATTTTTCATATATATGGTATTTGTAGAATATGTAAATATATAAAATATATGAAAAATTGATGTGGGTACTCAAATGAAAGGTATTAACGAACTTAACATTAGGATGAGCTTATATCTTAAAAAATCTTAATAATTAAGAAATGACGTTATATCTTGTCAACTAACGATAGTTTCACCGATATAAGCTCATCTTAGAGTTACATTTATCAAGAGCTTTCATTTGAATACCTACATGCATTTTTCATATATTTTACAAATATATAAAATATCATATATATAAAATATATGAAAAAAATCATGTGAGTACTTAAATTAAAGGTCTTGATGAGCTTAACATCAGAATGAGCTTATATCTTAAAAAATGTTAGTAATTACGAAATTACTTTATATTTTGTCTACCGATGATATTTTTAACAATATAAGCTCATCCTACAGTTACCCTTATCAAGACCTTTCATTTGAATACTCACACGAATTTTTCATATATTTTATATATTTACATATTCTACAAATACCATATATATGAAAAATATATCAAAAATGCAAGTAGGCACTCAAATGAAAGCTCTTGATGAGTGTAACATCAGGATGAGCTTATATTTTTA